GCAAATTTGTTGAATTCAACTTCAAATTTTATTTTTTGCTCAGATTTTTGGTTTAGTTAAACCGCGTTCTATAACTGTCAACATCACTCTTCTTTGACTTTATAGTTTATATAGGGATAAATAAAAGCTCATCAAACACAAGGAGACGTTTCTTCATGCAAAAATGGAGATTTGATGTTGCAACAAGCACACAATCTCGTGCGACAACTTGAAGTTTAAATCAAGTCTAAACTTGATTTAGACTTGATGAGATTTGTTATAAACTTAACTAATTGGTTGTAAAACCAGATAAAGTCAAGGGAAAAACAAAATTCCTGAAAATTCTTGGTAGATATCTCTCTACTTTGCATTTGTAGAAATGATTAAACATAGAAGACTAATTTTTCCCCCGAAAATATCTTCCTTTCTCCTTGCTTCTACCCATTTCCAAATATTCTGGCTTTCCTATATGCCCCAACAGTTTACAAGGAGCCAAGAGAGAAAATTAAAAAAAACCACAACAACAACAACAACAACCATAGTTTAACAATGTCATCGGCTATTCTTTCTTTTTCCTCTATTATCTCCGCTGTTGTCACAACGTCGAGCTTTGACCTTTGTTATCTATGAGAACAAAATGGGAAAATTTTTGTCTAACAAGGCTTGCCAGGGAAGCAGGTAAGTGACCCAGAGTATTTTGTGAGGAGAGGTACCATGGTTGCGGGATATGCCTTTATCATGAACTCGCTCGAGAATTTCTTGCTAGCATCCGGATTCCCAGATTGGACGAAGAATGCCCCATTAACCATCATGTCTCCCTCTGATCTCCATGGCCAGTTCGCCCATTCTTGCTGTGATGCGTAATCTCGCTTTGTCACCTTCACCAAGACCAAATACATGATCGATCGGTATTGTAAGTTACAAAGTTACCTTATAGGTTAGAGAATTAAAGTTCATGAAATAGAAGACGTGAAGTGATAAGATACTCACCTCCTTAGCGGCAGCATTTGGAGGAGCAACAAATCGGTTGCCCTGGCTGATAATGGTGGGTTTAGAGCTGCCTCCGATGGCATACATGAGCCAGTGAGAGTAGTCGTTGTTGACAACATGGATGAAGCCCCAACGACACCTAGGCATTCTTTGAACCAATCCCTTACCGAAGTGGGTGAAAGCCACTGTGATTTGCATCTTTGTATCATCACTGTAGGTGTCACTTGCCCCAAACAACATCACCTCATTGTGGTGGGTGAAATGGCAGTTTGAGATGGTAATAGCGGTAGAGCCCTGGATGGCGTCGATCAGACCATCATAGCAGTTGGACGCCGATACGTGATCTATCCAAATGTTTGAAGATCCGAAGATGGAGATACCATCACCATCGCTCTTTGTCCTAAACCCAACGTGGTCCACCGAATCCCTGATCATACCGCCGTCACATGGAACAATATCGTGAATGTGCAGTCCATGTATGATGACGTTCCTGACAAACTGAAGGGTGATGCCTGCACCGTAAGCAATGTGCACATTGGCGCCTCTAGCATCAATGGTCTTATCGCTGGAGACTATTAGCTCCTGGCTAAGCCTGATAATCATGCTGCGTGCAAATATGATCCAGAGTGGACCTTTTTGGATTACTGCATGGCGTAGGGTTCCGGGTTTTGGGTCAGCAACATTGTCATCGGAACCATCAGTGACCACGTAGAACTCTCCCATTTTGCCACCAATGGTACCTCTAGCAAAGCCTAGAGAGCAGTCCGCCAGCCTCTTCCTGTTGTTGGCCCAGTTAGGGTCACAGCGCCAGCACTTATCAATGGGGTTGTATGCCATGCATTGCCCTTTATGTGAACGCTTCATCCTCAACTCTCTCCTCGAACTATTAAGGTTAAGCTCGGCCAAAGTCCTGCTTGCATGTTTAACACAAATTCAACTCCTCCATTTCTAAAAGAATCCACTCAAATATTCATTAAAAAATATATTTTGGAATCTGAACTTCATGAAACATTTTGATTGTTTGTCAAAACACTAAACTGATACTCAAATGTGTTTACCTTGCAACATGTGCGTTGAAGTGTTGAGTGACCTCTTCAGGACGAGGGTTAAAAGCCAGGTCGGCATATTTTTTGGCCTCAGCCTCGCGCTGCTTCCAGTAATCATCGAAATCACCGATGTTGGCTAGAAGGGTTGGGATGATAACGGAGAAGGATAGGAAGAAGACGAAACTTCTATTGATTGCTGCCATTGTGATTCTGAATTTATTTTTCCCCTCTGAGTTTTCGCCTTGGGTGAGTGGCCGAGGTCTCCCGAAGGTACAATGTTTGATTGAGCACAGACGAAAGCAAGGCCAAAGCCAACCCAAAGCCTTAGGTAAATTATTGTGCTCGGGAGACAAGCGAATTCACTTCGCTTGGCCTGCTTGAGGGGGGATCATAGGAGGAACAGAATGCTTGATTAAATAGGAGAAATGGGGAGAGAGGGAAGGAGTGGAAGGGCGAGAAGGGAGGGAAAGCCAACGGTCTGGGAGGCTAAGTCAGGTTTCAGAGATTTTCGATGTTTGAACTCTGTTGTCTTTGCGATTCTGTTGGTGAATTTCTTTGTTTTAGTCAAATGCTTCTGTTCAAAAATCCGTTGTCTTCGTGGTGGCAGAAAACCACTCCTTATGCTGTTTGCTAATTTAAGTAATTCCTTATGAATTGTGTCAATGGTTGAACGTTGATTTTTTCTTTTCTTTTTGTTTTTTTAAAACGTGGCTTCGGTTTTGCAATAGCAGTTAAGAGACTCATTATTGTTTCTAAGGTCCTTAGCTGTGATTCGAAGGTACTACCAGCTTCTAAAATGCGGTCATCATTTTCATCACTTTCCAATGTTTAGGACACAGTAAAATATGGTCAATGAAAAATATCTTCAGAACAGAAAATGTGTTTAAGAGAAAACCTTGGAGAACAACTTTCCCCTCTTTGAATTATATTAACCATTTTAAGCCAATTTTATCCACGTGTACATAAAAATCATTTTTTAAATTATATTTAAATTTTAAATTTTAAAATTAACACTCAAAGAAATTAATTTTTTTAAATTTACCAAACCAACGTAACATGTATATCTATTTTTATGATTGTCTAAAACAAAATTAATCTTGAAATATATATAAACTAACTCAAAGCTAATCCTAATGGTAAATACCAAAAAAGAGATTATATTAACCATTTCATGATCTAGTTTATTAAAAAATTAAAAAGAAACAAGAGAAAAACTGACACTCAACAAAGGCATGCATGTAGGCTTATGAAAGAACCGTTGTTCAATTTATTCTTTATAATAAGAATGCAATATTACATACAATTGTTCTAGTCTACAGTTTTCTTGCAAAAAACGCAATTGTTAAAACAACGTATCAATGCTATCCCATAATTTTTATTCAGAAGATAACTTATTGTAATGGTGTAAAAAAATAGTAAATAATATGGTATATGGTATATGCCGGTCCCAGGTGCAATGTTGTATTTCAGTGCATCCACCACCCCCTGGCCTCAGTCAAGTTATCTGGATGAATATCATCTGACAAAAAAAACTGTTATACAAGAATGGTACAGCCGTAACATATACCAGCAACAAGTACTACGCTGGTTTGGTTCTCTTCAATGAGCTTTAAGATACAGTAATGAGAACTCTGTGGTGAAGGTTTGTATAGAATATATAAATTCAGCAACATAATGATTTTGATAAATAGCTTAGCATGCTTCCCAAGCCTTGTAATCCCTTCCCTCAATCGCTGGAGCCCATTTTTGAGGTCCGTTCTGGGGTTCAAAATGCCCTGGTCCAATCTTCATTGCAACCTTTTCATCGATGATGGCCGCGTATACATCCCTTTCCGCCTTGACAATTTTAACCTACAAGCAAGTGAAATCAATGTCTTCATTTTAGAATTTGCGCATAAAAGTCAAATTCACTTGGATCTAACTTGCCCAGCAAGATAAGGCTCAACTGAACATTTGTCTCCACTCTTACAGGCAGGAACGATAAAAAATCCTTACATATTAGTAATATTAAAATGCAAAACCATGTAAAAAGCTTTCACAGCAAATCTTAGTTGGCAAATATATAAACTATTCTTTATACTTACTGGACTCCGGCAATGGATTTTGTTTCGGTTTCTGAGAGAAATAAGAGCAGCTATCTCAGATCGATAATGAGAAAAAAGGTGGTCAAAGAACACTGCAGGTGTTCCTGGATGAGTCAAGATATATGCATATCCTTGCATTTCCTTCTCACGTGGAAACCTCCAATGACCCTTTTGGGTGAAGCACAAGAAAAAACATTTAAAAGAAATGTGAGTATATGCAACGGAGGAGAAAAAAAAAACAAAGGCAACATAGAGGGGTCAAAATGGTGCCCCTTTCACTCCAAAATGTTCTTACACAAAAAAGCCAAAAAAAGAAAAAAAGTAAGAAAGAAAGAAGTTTCTACACATGGAAGCCTTATTTTATCTAAGTATATAAACCTAATTGATACTTATTCAGCTAAACATTAAAGCAATTACTGACCTCTGGCTTTTGACATTTTTATTCTCTAGAAAACTAAAACAATTAATAACCATTTATAGTGATAGATTAGCAAAGGGAAAATTTGCACTTCAGTTCTTGCCCATGGAGAAAAAATCATTACATTGTTAAAACAAATATATGAATGTTACCTGAAACATTGTTCACTGTTTCTAAATAAGCAAACTATGCTCTCATTATCTAATAAAAATATGTTTTATAAATTTAATATGAATGCAATTTAACTAAAATAAATTTTCAAAAAACTAAAAGAAAATTACTTTTATGGGCAAGGCAAAAGGGAAAAAAAAAAAAAAAGAAGAATAAAAACAGAGAGAGAGAAGCTCAACAATATTAATAATCAAGCTTGATTTCAGGATTAAGTTGCATTCTTGACTTGACAGCACATATTTTTATTTTACTTACTTCAGATAAGTCTGAAAGAAAGAAAAAAAAAAGAAAAAAAAGAGTACAAAGTGGAGAAGTCAAGCAAAGGTCCAAACCTGGGTAGAACCAGTGTCATGATTTTCTATGAAGGTAACAGCACGAGAAGGCCACCATCCAACAACCCCAGGAGGCTTTCCTTTTGGATCTGACAGTCTCCAATATTCACATCTTTCTAGCACCTAAAAAGATGAGAGAGTTCAAGTTGACACAATATACCCTGTCTTTCAAAACTTAGAAAAAAATAATGAAAATGGAAGTTCAAGGCAGGTGATCAAGAGTGTTTTAAAAGTAAAATTGGCTCCTCTTTCTGCCTATCAAATCCCTTAAGTGTCTATAAGATCCCAACATGAACGTTCCAGAAAATCACATGCCAAAAGATAGTTTTTAAATATTTAGGAAAGCCAATAACATTGTTACTTTTTTCATAGGTAAAAGAAACAGGTTATATGCATGAATTAAGTAGTAAATTTCACTTATTTAAGCAAAGCTCTGTATATCTAAATGCGATGTTAAGATTGTCAGGATGAATGCTTACTGCATGAAGAATCCCTTTCGTTGTGACATCAAATGCACCAGCAGTTCCATTAGTTGCATTAAGCCAGTCAACAATTCTCTGTCGATGTGCATCTTGGTTGTAGTCCATTTCACCATATGTATAACTGAGCGAATCCCAAAACTCACCTACAGCAAAGTAAGGTTTACTTGCATCCAAGTAGTCCTTAACATAACCACCCCAAAATCCTCTGACAAAATCAAGCCTCCATCCATCATAGCCAATTTCATCTCTGCAGGGAACATAATATCAACATAGCTTCTTTACATGAAAGACTTGTACTTACTGAATAGGAATAAAGTATCAGGTAACAGAGAAATGCATAGGAAGCAAAGCAGTTGACAAAATCTAGAAGCTTGACCACAACTAACAACAGAACATTATGAGGCAAGAAATAGGCAACATATGATCCTGTAGTCTACTCATACTCTCATTGGGATCATGGATATATTCAACCCAATTTTGTCAAAACAAAATTAGCATAAATCCTCTAATTAAAATTCAAGATACAAAATAAGCAAACAATTCAAGGCACATTCCAAAATGCTGCAAACGACGCATGAAGAATATGCTGTTGACATGACCCTTCTAGAGGCATCTAAATGGATCAAACTGTAAACTAAGACTTTTCTCATCCAATAGATAAATAGAACTACTAACCTATAGAACCCATCAACCACATCACAATTGGTAAGGCAAAATTATTAAAAAAATCTACGTAAAATTAATGGCTTGATCAACCCAAGGGCAGAAAAGAGAACCACCACGTTAAATTTAGTCAACCACACATCTGTCATCAGATGCATTCATTTCTTCCACAACATCTTAAAATACAGGATAACCTACATTAAGAGTCTTAAGCTCATGCAACATAAAAAGGACTTAAACTCTTAATCATAGTTACTGGGTATGCCATCCGGTACAGGCCATACGGTAACTATGCTCTTAACAATTAACACCTCTCCAAATGCTAAGAGGTGCCTTTAAAAGAACTTTCATCTGAAACTGACATCAGCTCATTGAGATTTTTGTTATCAGAGGTCTATTTTGGTGACCTCAAACAAAGAACAACATGAAGTGAGTGTATATTTCCAAGACGAACACAGTTGTCAATGCAGTGTATATTTTATCAACATGTATTATGACCTTTATTTTACCAATTCCACATAGGCCATGATCAATAACAGCAAGACTAAGACCTAAAGCTCAAGATTTTCAGCATTTTAACAATATTATGAACACAAATGGATGGAAAATATGCATCTGACTGTAGGTACAACCTTAGAGAGAGAGAGAGAGACAGAGAGAGACAGAGAAGCTTGTACATTTATATACTTAACATACTACCAGCTTATGTAATACCCTCATGCATAAAATATTTCCCTGATAGCAAAAAGGAAATTGAAGTTCAGGATTCAACCTCAGCCAGTGCAACCACTCTTTGATATCCTTCCTCACAAAGTCTTGTGAATGATCAATGTTGGGAGCAGCATGGAAATTATCTCCACTACTCTTGTTGCCCCTGCCCTACATGACAAAAGCAAGTAGTTCATGACTTTCAAAAGTGAATAGAATTTACAAAAATGGGGTTCACAGTTCAGATTTTAGATCCAACAAATGAAGCTCTTAATAAGATATCGCATTTTAAGCATAGAATTATCACTTTCTTCAGATTTTAGATCAAACAAATGGAGAGATGCAAAAACAAAGATGAAGCACGTTGAACATTTTTTGACCTAATGGCATAAAAAATATTTGTTATTCATACAAGATTAATTTCCTCTGAATTCTTGTCCCACTGATGTCCGCAATACATAAATAACATTGCATTCCAGATTCTTGCATCATTTCCATGGATCTTAGACTTGAGACATTATTATAACAGATGTGAAATGTAAATCAAGAAACTTAAATAATATATGAGACCTTATTCATTCATTGGAGTTAACTATTGATGTCATTAGTATTCTTATCAAGTAAATTTCAGTAACAGCTGCTGCAGCACTTAATTGCAACTGCTAGTACAGTTGATGTGTCACAATCATTTTGGCCTCAGTGTTTATATTATATGAAATCTTTCATTGTAAATTTGGCAACAAATGATCAGGCCATTCATTTGTATTGGTATTCTTCATTCTTTTTGTATTCTTTTTTGTTTGGAGGAAGAGAAATTACAATTAGAAGACAATAAATGATGACAACTTAAAGAGAACATGTAAGCCACAATTTTAGGAGCACAAATTAGAACATATAATTTGGAATGTCAAATGAATCTTTTAGTTGGAAAGCAAAGAGGAAAATAAGTTTACTCTAACTGATGGTGACAGAAATTGTTTAAGTCAATTAACAATTTCAGTGAAGATGGGGGTAAAAAATAAAAGCACTTGGCACTTGTTCGAATACCCCCCTCCCCAATATCTTGAACACAAGAAGGAAAAACTACCTGAAAATGAGGATCATCTGCCACTATAGCCCGATCATCCCAATTTAAGCGGCCACCAAAAATATTCCACACACCATTTTGATTCTGATAGTGTGCACAGCGATGGTTCAAAACAACATCTCCCAAAACTTTTAACCCAACTTTGTGGAGTGTTCCCACGAGCTCCTTCAACTCATCAATAGTTCCATACCTGCCAACCAAGAAAGTTCACGAAATAGTGAATCTTTAATCACTCACTGAAAATCTACAGCATACCTGATTTCAAGGAGTATTTGTCCGATATTTATCAATTAAAAGAGAAACTAAAGTCAAGCCCAGAGTGAACAATGATCATACATAAGAGAAAAATTAATAACTACAGTAATCTTTTATGGCAAAGAAAAATGACAAATATATATTAACTTAGCTTCACTCATTCAAGAAGATCACATACTCATGCAGTAAAACAGTTGAACTAGATGGTCCAAATATGAAATTGCTATAAATATGAATTGTTTGTATTTAGATATTTAAAATTTTTTTCATATGCATAACAAGCTTCTAGTACTACCTGGAATTCAAGTTATACAAATCCTTTGGCATATACCCTTCAGGTGACACAGACTCTGTAGGTGGTGGTAACCAAATGACAGTGAATCCAAGGGAAGAAATTTCAGCTGCTTTGTCTTTGATCTCCTTGTACCATCTCCCAGATTTATGGGATTCCCAGTTGAAACCTTGGCACAATATTTCAAACCCTGTGCCTGTTCCAGGGCATATTTGAGCAGGCGTTATTGGTTTCTCGGCTTCCAAAACAGCTTCCTCTGAAAAGGTTGGAACAGAGCTTCTGAATATGCTATAGGCTTCGGCAGCAAGCTTTTCAATTTCCTGAAGAATGCTCTCCTGTGCTTCTTTTGTTTTTGTCTTCTGACCATGTTCAGAGGAAAGGCCTGTAACCAAGTTTCTAATCTCACTTATGATTCCATCTGTGTATACTTTAGGAGAAGGATCTCCATTTGCTTCTGCAGTCTTTTCAGATATCCTTGAATTGTCAGTTTGATCTTGTTGGTCTTGAACACTACTAAATTGAGAAAGGGGAATGTAGAAGTCATTTCCCTGGAATTTCAACCAAGTATTGTCATTCAACTTGACAACAAATAAAAATCCCACAAATTCTTGATCTATAGTGAATATTCCCTGTGACCCATTTCCATTTACTTTGGCCTGCAAAACAGGATGTATATTTAAGTGACAATATATCACCTAGAAATAACAATTCAAATCCATACCAAATTGAAATTCTGAAAAAGAAACCTTTAAATTAACACATCACAATTAAAGTTCCCTAAGACGATATCAGAACTTAGAATGACGGAAGAAAAACTAAAGAATTGAAAATTTTTTTCATAAATGAATTGATGCTTCCAACCATGCCCCCTAGACACCATACCTTATTCACAAATACTCTTTTATTAAAGAAGAAGATAACAAACAAGGCAACTGAATGAAACTACTTAACATTATTCTGCTGGATTTCAAAATCCAAACATATTAATTTAATTTCATATTATTAGCAAGAAGTGAACCTGATTATGTTCAATAACAACTTAATCTATGCAATTTAAATTCCCAAAAGAGAGGTACATTTAAAAAGATCATACTTGCAATAGAGTCCGCAACGCCTTATTCTTGAATTGAGTTGTTTCCGGTGGCTGTGGGCCAGATGGAATTTCCCATATTTTAGCATCATCTCTACAGACTCCCCAGTGAAGAATGACATCTCCTGGTACATCAGTGTCTATATACAGAATATTCTTAGCTGTCTCTGGACACTTCCTAACAGCAACACTCACTAAGTTGCCAAAAGCTACTTCTTTTGTAACATGCTGCTCCTCATAGAATCCTTCAAGTTGCCTATTATCCTTTTTGGGAGGTATGCATTCACTGCTGTTGTCTTGACCATTAGAATCTGATTCCTCTGATTTGAGAATCATGCTAGAAAGCTGTCCCAAAGCACCTAGGATTAAAGAGAAGCCAAAAAAATCAGTCAGTTTATCATTGAACAAAGCGAAGGATAGGGAAAACTATTCGGGAAACGTAGTAAAATGCACAGGCACTACCCATAACCCATTTCATCTCACAAATAATGCAAGGCTCAGATAGTATGGGATACTATAACTAGGCTACAAGCAGATCACCTAACTCATACTTGTATACAGACTCTTGAAGATGCTAGGAAGCACACCAGACTCGTAACTTCATTTCTATATGTGCTAATTATAATCTACAAGACAGAAGCATGTATAACAAAGGAAAAAATGAGGGAAATATTAACTGCAATCACTGACTATGTTAACAGAAAGGACTAAAACAATAGAAGTCATTATACACATAAGCCTATTTTCATTCTTTCAGTAAATAACTCTTTCTAAGAAACTGCCTCTCTTTGATGCAAAACAATAGTAAATACAAAAGTACATAACTCTTTTTTTTTTTTTTTTATCATAAGGCAGAACAATATTAGATTATCTGATTACTTCGGATGGTCTAAGTCCATTTTCACACAAAGTTTATCATCAAATGCTGGAAACTAATTAAAACAAACAGCATTACTTTCTACAACCTGACCATATACCAAAACCCCTCTTTGATCCAACCATATTGCCATCATCCTCAAGATAGTCCACAAGAGCCACCTTAAAATCTCTGCCTCTGTGCTGATACCAAGCTCCAGTTTCTTCATCCTGCACCACCACAATCCACAAAACAGAGGTGGGGAAGGGAAAGTAAGATAACTAATTTTAAATGTTTATAATTGTCAAAGGAATAACATATCTACTATCAATTAAAAAAAAAAAAAAAAAGCCAACATATAAAATGTATAAATAGTAGGTTAAGCTCCTAGTTGTTCAAAACTCAAACCTTTAAAACAAAATGTATAGCTGCAATTGCACTGCTGGGATTAAAATCAATCTTCACTTCATGAAATGTAGATCCTTTAGATGCTTTCTTCAAGGGAGTCTCTATTGCATAGTCCTGAAACGAATATAATTGCCTTACATATTTGTCAGGGAAACAAAAGGACAGTTGTCATACAAACATTAGAAGCCACTACTTACTTTGATAGGAACTGAACCAGGGGGTCTCATGCCTTTAGGAGGCTGATCCCATTCACTGCAAAAGTTTTAAGACAAGTTATTAAAGCACTCATTGAAATTTGAGTCCGTAGTTAAGTTCAATACCAATATAACATCTCTTCAAGAATGTGTAATTAATTAAGGTCAAAGTCCGAGGGCATAATCAAGGAACTAACCTCCCCTGGTCACCAATGTAAGAAACTCCCCAATGAAGAATCCATTTTCCTGGAAGACTACATCCTACTGTAAGCTCCCAATTCTTCTGATCCTTGGCTTGATCTAACCTGATGAAGATCTTTCCCTCCAACTATCACTCCAAACAAAGAAATAACGATCTATTCAATTCCAAATCTACCCAAACCAAGGAAATCAGCTTCTGATCAAAGGAACCTTCTGATGGCTAATAGAGCTCAACAAGCAATCAAACAAACAACTTTAACGACAAAATTAAAAACAACTCTCTTCTTCAACACAAAATTGAATTCCTTCCGCTTTACCAAACCTTTCAGAAGCTCAAACAAACCAAAAGTGAAAACTAAGCTACAGAACAAAGCAAAAGAATGCCACACAGCATCATACACACAAAAAAAGCCTAAATGTCACCTTTTCAGTACGCTTAACGGGAAAAGTCTCCTTATAGAAGATGTCCGTGGCGGACTCGAAGGTTTCAATGAGAGCCGCGTCAACGGAACTGGAGCTGGCTCTGACAGCGTGAATCCTCCGGCGAGACTTGAAGTTGCAGGAGCTAACAACGAGACGAGGCAGCAGCTGCTTCCGATTCCGAGAGTTAACTGAGCTAGTGAAGGAACAAGATATCGTCAACAACACCTTGGCTGCAGGAGTCGGGCAAGATAACAGCCGAGGATTCTGAAGCAGAGGATCGATGGAAACCGTGGCCATGGATTCAGGTTACAGAATTGAAAATAATGGAAGACTATTGATTATGTGCAGAAAGTTGCAAGATTTTGGGGGAGGGGGAGGGAGTTTTTTTTTTTTTTTTGTTGGATAAGGTTTTTCCTTAGTTACAAAAATAAATGAAATATCGCGGTGGACGGTGGATCTTCGCACGAGTTACGGAGTTTGGAAGCACTGCGGCCATGCTCGCGGTTCGTAGCAATCCGACGAAGATCTCAGCACGTTAAAAAGGGACTTTGGATATTTTTCGTTTTTTTCTGCTTTTTTTTTTGAGGAATGTTTTTTTTCTGCTTTTTAACATTCATGTGTGAGGGTGGCGGGCGCCTCTTAGATTTTTTATTTTTTTAACAGATTTTACAGGGTTGGGTTCGAACCCCTGCCTGGAAAGGGAGGGAATGCACCGTAGGTGGCTTTTGTTACTTAACTCGAAAGGTTCGATGCGGGTGCGGGTGCCTCTTAGATTGGACATGGATTTGTCTTTACAATGTATAAAAATTAAGTGTTTATTTTTTAATTGTAAAATATGGACTCTTAGCTGGGAGGACTTTAATATTAGTTTAGAATTTTAAATAGTAAAATATTTGTTAAAATAATTAGATAATTAATTTATAAAAAAAATAAAGTATGTATATTTATTTTGTCTATATATTTATAACTCAAATATAAAATATTTACGCTTTTAAAGAAAAAATTACTATTAAATCAT